TCTAGCTGATATGCATATTGGTATATTTCAACCATTTGCAACTGTTCTGTTGACAATTATCCTAGATCTTAAGTAGAGTTTTTAAAACCTGTTATTTCAATAAGAGAAAAAAATTAAGGATTTCCAGGGGTAGTAGGCTTGTTCTGTAAAACCTGTAAAATCCTCTAAATCCACTAGGTGGGGATCTCAGCTTCAATCATTTTAGAAGAACAACTGGGGCTTCAAGATCAACACAATGGATCCTGAACAAAAGGAATTTTAACAAGCCTTATTGCCAATTATTATTAAGATTTTGAAAACTAAATAACCCATTAGTGTATAAGCTTTCAAGGTTTGATCTCTTGAGTTTAGCATGTCACAATTTTTTGGTGTGAGTACTCCTTGTGCACAGAAATTAAATGTTCTTATAAATATTAGATTTAAAAGTAATAGCAGAATAAGCCTCTCTCATTCAAAGCCAGAGTTATTGGAAAGATAGAGGTATACTGAAACCATTTTATTTTTGATATCCCAGTAAAACATTCAAAGCATACCTTCATGGTATACAATATTACCCTATTTTATATTTCCTAGTGGGGGGAAAAAGGTTGTACTTTCTCTGCTCCTATCTATATATAATATATTTTTATATTTTTATATCTTTATATATTTTATATATTTATATATTTCTTAATATATCTTTATATATCACTATCTTTATGTCTATATTTGGCAAATGGTTAAGCTTAAAGGACTACTAGAATAATGTAAATACTCTTAGATGACCCACCTATCTCCTATTTTTTCTCCTATTCAGAATTGCCAGCAAATGATGTAACTTTCTTATTTTGAAAGTCCCTAACCTTATTCCTTCTCTTCTGTTTTCTCTCTGGGTTTAAAATTTCCTTGCTTTTAACTCCAACTCCTCTCCCCTCTATTTTTGTTCAGCCTCTCTGCTTGAGCTTAGCTCCTATGCCATCTGTCTGCCTACCCTGATCCTACTTCATTTGGTTAAGCGCCTTTAAGGTGAGAAGAGCAGCTATGCCAACTTCTTGCGCAATAACTTTTTTCTAATTGACAGTTCCCTAAGTTTTGTAGACCAGGTTAGTTGTTTTTGTTTTTGTTTTTGTTTTTGTTTTATCTCTTGGTAGCTATCTTTCTTTTTTTCCTTTTTCTATGCTTTTTTTTAAAAGCAACTTCACCTTGCTGCAGAGCTGTTGGCTTTGTTCTTCTCTCATTGTCAACAATATCCCTGACACCTAAGGGCCTAAAGAACCAGTACTCTGGTCACTAGCTGATTCTCAGAAGGCAGCCGTTGACAGTTCTCCAGGGCTCTTTCCTCTTCTTCATTTCCTAAACCCAGTCTTTCACTTCCTTAGGATGTTTTGTTTCCTTTGAAGTAGTTCTCAAATTTACCCTTGTTCCTGAATCCCCATGGTAACCATTATAGTCTTTGTGTTGTAATCAACTGGATTAATGCAGCTAGCAGCCCAGCTGGAAGCTCTGACATCCCTGTCTTTTGCTCCCGTTTCAGCCCTCTAATTCTCTGCCTTTACTGGGCACAAACCGCCTGAGGTGCCTGCTAAAATGACATGTCCTAGACTCCATCCCAGACATTTTGATTCAGTAGATTTAGAATAGGGCCCCAGAACCTTCATTTTAAGAAATATTCCCAGGTAAACTGGAGCAGGTAATAGGTAGCTTACATATTAAGAAACAATGCTCAGCTATCTCAATGCACACTAGAAGATAATTTAGTGCCTGTCTCACTAGACTACATATAATTCTTTTAAGTTAAACTTTCATACCAAATTCAGATGGATTTTCTAAAAAAAATTGCTTTTATCATATCTCTGCACTGCTTTAGAGACAAAAAAACATAATTGCCTGGAATTTCATATCCAAATTCCCTATTCTGGTTTCCAAAGCTTTCCAAAATCTGACCTAACAGGACTTTTCCTCCACCTTTCACTATTTTCCAAACAGCATTTTCCATTTCCCACACATAGGAAATAATAATGTGCTTTCAATTTAAGGAATGAGGCAAAGACAAACAAGAAGGAAAGAATGAGTGGTAAACTAGATAACCTAGAAAGCAATGGCCAGGAGAGCATGGCGTTAGTTCTCAGATCTAAAGGTGAACTTGTTTCAAATGATGGTATAGAGATTTAATCCCTCAGTGGCTACATGTTTCCATAACTAATAAGTCTCTCCCTTGTGTCCTTTCTCTCAATGAGTTTGTACGTGGTCTCTTTGCTTGGACTGTTTTTCTCTCTCACCAACCCCCTTCATTCAGCAAACTCCTATTTATGCTTGTGATCTCAGCTCTAGTGACACTTCTTCCAGGAAGCCTTTCCTGACCTACACTAACTCCTTGTCCCTCACTTGCCAATTTCTGTAGTATGCATTCTCATCTAATCTTATTTTCCTTGCTCTGCCTTGTAACTCTAAAATCATTAATGTGTTTATTCAATTAATCTCCATTTGGGTACTGGCCCTTAGGCTCCATGGAGAGTGCATCTTCACTGAATCCCCAGAACTTGTTCCTGGGGCAGTATATAGTAGAGACTCAATAAATAATTGTTGAGGGAAAGAAAGAAAACCAGCTCATTGTTTCCCTTTTCCTCACTACTCAGGCTACTCACATGAAGACCTTATTGCATAATGCCAAGATGATTCAGGTGTGTCACATCCAGAGGCAGTTAACTTCTTAATGAGATGGGTACCATGGTTAAGCCAGGGCCCAACCTGACTGTCCAGCCCAGAGATAGCCAGCTAGTCAGATACTTTGCTTCCTACTGTGCTTTCTCCCCATCCTTCACCCTGAACTTCATTCCTGGAGTCCAGGCCCTGGGCTGGTAGGCTTTGCTGCTTAGCAATAAAACTTTTCCAGTAAGCACTTGATTTTGGCCTCTTAGTATTTTTTTTTAAACCTTATATGTACCCTCCTTTGGCTTTATTCAGGTTCTCTTTCTCATTTCCTTTTTTTTTTAAAGCGTTTATTTATTTTTGGGACAGAGAGAGACAGAGCATGAATGGGGGAGGGGCAGAGAGAGGGAGACACAGAATCGGAAACAGGCTCCAGGCTCTGAGCCATCAGCCCAGAGCCCGACGCGGGGCTCGAACTCACGGACCGCGAGATCGTGACCTGGCTGAAGTTGGACGCTTAACCGACTGCGCCACCCAGGCGCCCCTCTTTCTCATTTCCTAACCTGTTACTTGTGATATCCATCTACCCCCCGCCCAAATGCTTTTAGAAGTTGCTAATAACTTGCTTTTATCTCCAAATGAAAACTTCTATAGGTTTCTTATTTATAATCATAATCATGAAGAGTCAGTTAATAGAAGCCAAAGGGACTCTTGTGATTTTTTTTTTTATGTTATACTTTGGAACAACTCACACACCAAAGAGAGAAAGAAATTCTGCATTATCTCTTTGACATACTTATTCCTAGAAAATATGCCTAAGGTTCATATTGAAAACAAAACAAAACAAAACAAAACAAAACAAAACAACAAAGCCTTTTCTCAAACATTTTAAGTCATGTAATTTTCAAGACAATTTTTGGACACTGAAATTCAGATGAGTGGATTGGAGTCATTGACAAGCAATAGTGATATTCATTTACTCAACAAATATTTTTGACCATCTCCTAGGTATGGTTCTAGGTGCTGGGGTTACAGCAGCAAACAGAACAAGCAAACAAACTAGTCCCTGCTAGTCCCTGCTTTCTGGTAGTGAAAGAAGGTTCTACACAAATAAATACATAATCTGCCAGATTGAATGCTTAGGAGAAGAGTTCTTTTTTTTTTTTTTTTTTTTTTCTTTTGAGATAATTCAAATCACATGCCATAATAATCTTTATTTTTCTCCTTAAGAGTCTCTGTGTACACTTGTGGGATTGGGTAATGATTTCGTGTGGGTTTTGCCTATAGAAAATAGAAGTGGGGAACTATGCTTTCTCCTTCCAATATCTGGACTGGGGCTTACTCTATTTCTCCTTTGGTGAGGTGCTTTCTGAGAAAACAATAGTTACACTTTATCTGCTCCCTTGTTGAAGAGAGACAAAGGATGAGAAACAAGGTCATGTAAGAAAAGCACAATAACTAGAGTGGTTTGGACTGGACAAATAAGGGCCATTGGGCTTTTATGTATAAGAACCTCCAGCATGAAGAATGTGAACTGGTTCTCTCTACTCAGAGCAGGAGAATCAATGTGGCAGACGTCAAAACACAAGGATATCAATAGACAACAATATATGCGGGCAGGGAAATTTTAGACACTGTGTTATCAGGAGAAAGTTGTGGAATCTTCTCCTTTGTCATTCTCTGAGGACAAAGTAGGCATTGAAATGTCTGGCATAGATAAGAAGAATCCTTTCCTGTAGACAAGTGGTCTGCGATTTCATTCTGGGATTATATGTGTGTTTCCCTCAACGATCTTAGATCTATGATCACATTTCATTTTTTTTCACTGTTTACATATTCTACTTTACTTATTCCTTCCATAACATTGATCCCTCCATCTGTGCTCTTAACCACTTTATCACAACCACTCAGAGAGTCAGAGAAGGACTAGGGCTAGGTCTCCTGTCTCCTGCTTGAGCCAGTGCTACTAAAGACCACTTGTCATGGGGCCTTTGCCTGAAGGCCTGCCTCATGGTGAAAAGCCAACACAAATCCATCTTGTGCCAAACTTCTTTCTTCAGAAAATGACTAACTGTGGCTCAAGCATAGTTAATAAAATTGCAGCTGAGATGAGACTGTGAGTCATCTGTCATACCCCGGTCTCTCTTTTGCTAATCAGTTGTGAGAAACATTTCAAAATCAGAGAGCAGCAGCAAAGAAATATGAGATACTCAGACTTCTTGAGGCAATTAGAGACTAAAGAGCAGAAGGCAAATCAGTCTTCCTGCCTTGACAGTCTTAAAATACACACTGAAAGTAGACTTTGGAGTTACACTATTTGTGACAGATTTTGACCATAACACATTTTCTAAGAGGAAATAAAAATTACTCACTTCAGGACATGCATTCCACCCTCGCATCAGCAGAGATGATATGGGCTTGGGAATGGAATAGCCAATGGGAGGTCTGATATGGTGGTAAGCCATGTCTGCTGCGGCAGCCGCTGCAAACCAAATGATCATGTCAATTTTGAAATTCACGTATTTATTTTAAGAAACATGAACAGACAACAAAAAGTCATCAAAAATCAATCTGTGCAACATTAGCTGAGAATCAAAGAGAGCTCCATGCTGTTTTTTTTTAATGCTTAAAGAAAATGTTGGATAATTTGATACTATAAGATTATCTTTATAATTTTCCATTCATTCAGTTGTTCATTCAACAAATTGTGAGCAGAGGGAATTTACAAAAGATCAAAGACACATACAAAAGAACACACAAACATCAAGTAGTTTTGTGTGTGTGTCTGAAGTATAGGGTGTGTATGTATGTGATGTTATGGGAAGTAAAGACTGAAAGGCAGATTAGACAGTACAATGTCATAAGTCCTAGAATAAAGGGCTTATACTATACACAGCAAGTCATGGGGTGCCACTGAACTTTGCAGTTCTGAAAGCACTTGTATCACTTGGGCAAAACAGATGAGTTTTTGTTTAAATACAATTAGTGCTTATAAGAATGTTGGGATTTTAATATTTAATACTTATAAAGTAGTTACTAGTTTTTAAACTTTTAGCTAATCCATCATTTTAGCTAATACCACTCATTGACTGAATTCCCTAGTGTTACCTGCCTGCTTGGATTTCTAAATATTGCTCATCTTAAACTCCCCGTTATCGTGTTGTAATTCTTGGGACTTCACTCTTGATGCCTGGCTGTAGCCTATTTTTCGATTCTGCAACCAGTGATTTCTATACTCCCTTGGAAAGCAAGTTCACAGCTACTTTTATTGAACATGTTTTGTATTAGGCATCATGGAAGATACATACAAAGCTCTTTTAAACCTCCTAACACTCATGCAAAGTAGGTATTACTCTGTGTGTGTATGTAATTAGTTTTTAATTTGTGAAAAAATTAAATATAATTAGTAGTTGGTGTAGCCTCTTGTTCCAGATTCTATGCTCTCTTCAGCCACTTCACATTGAAAATACTTTGTACACAACACATGAAGCTCTTTTTATTCTTCAGAAAAACTTCTCTGTACAATTAGGAGGTTAAAGTTCCAGGACAATGCTGTTTCCTATCTTCTAGATTGTGATGTCATAAACATTTGTCTATATCTTAATAACTTTTTTTGAGATATGACCTACAACCACCACTCTCCACTAAACTTTGCTCCAATTCAGTTCTGTTTTAAGATTTACTCATCTAGTAAAATTATATGTAGTGTAACTTAATCAACATTTTGCTTTATGGATCAGTCAGAATTACTACCTAATTTTGACAAATGTGACCTTTATACTTGTTTTCTGTAGAATTTTAGAAACACAATTATAATAGAGGACAATTGTTAAAATATTTTGAGTATTTCTCATATATTGTTTGTATCATTGAGCTCATGTCCAATCCAATATACAATTATGTAATGCTTTTTTCCCCTAAATATCAGCTACAAGTTATTTCTACAAGTTATTAAAACTCCAGGTTAACATATTTTTACAAGTTATTAAAACTCCAGGTTAACATATTTTTAATGGTTCTATATTCATTATGATTTACTTAATCATTCTTCAAGTTTAGGTTGTTCAAATTTGGACATAAACACTTCAAAAAGTATATCTTTTCAATATGAATTTCCCAATTTCACACGTTGTTTATATTTTGAGGGGTGAGATTAATGTCAAATGGCATAAGACTTTTGACACATACTGATAAGCTTTTTTCCTAAACAGTTGTACTAATTTATTCCCTTAGTCACCAATGTGTGAGAGAGTTTTCATTACATCGGCAATCTTTCATTACATCGGAATCAGGTTTTCTCATTTTGTGAGAGATGTTGCTAACATGAGAGGTAAATTATATCAGCTCATTTCTTGTTTAAATTGTGTTCTTTGATGACTAGTGAGGCTTAATATTTTCCCAAATATTTACTAGTTATTTGTATTTGAAATTTTAAGTTCATTTCCTTTGCTGCCTGGCATTTTAATGTTTCTTTGCAACAGCCGTTCTAATTGTACAATGGCTCCAGTTTGAGGGCAGAGTCAAGAATTCCATTTCTGCTTTTATTTTCAAGGCCATTTATAGAATATTTGCATTGTCACATTTGTCCACCATTTCTAGCCATTATCAGCTAGATTCGTAGTTGCTGACACTAAGAAAACACAGAAACAAAAGACTGGCCAAAACATATTTAGCAAACTTAACATGACTTACAAAATATGTCTTTTGTGTCACAAAAAAAAAAAAAAAAAAAAAAAAAAAAAAAACTAGGCATGTTAGATTCCTTCCATTGGCTACTCTTGAGTATTTTTAATTCCTTTTTGGAATGAGGTAAATAAATAAGCAAACACATTAACTAATGCTTAATAATCATTGATCTTCTAACTCTACTTTTTCACCTTATGACCATTTGGATATTGTTGAGCTGGTGCAGCTATAAGCATATAAACCAGTGTAGTGAATGCATTTAAACTAATTATACCTATCCTAATGGGTGGGGAGGGACTATTCATAAAGTGAGTTAAACTCAGATGCAGGTGCCAAATGTCTCCTTTGAAACCCTTTCAGACTCTGATACCAAGTCTATAAAGTTACTTGTTTTGCTTCTTGGCACTGTGTCTGGAAAATCAGTTTAAGATGAATGCTATTTAATTCTTCATTATTCAAAGTAGATTCTGCAAGGCCTTGGCATCTCCTTCTCTCTTTTGCTTTATACACCCTTGGCAGTGATGCTACTCATTAGCAGCAGAAAGTGGACAATGCAACATGAGGCGTCATGGAGTTGAAATTTGTCACCTTTAAAATTGCTTTGTCAGTCTTGCCTGAGTGGCCATGCTACACTAACATCTGGGAAATTTTCTAGTATTCCAGATTCAGGACAGGGATTGTCAGCCCATTTATCAAATTTTTACCTTGATTGCTACATAAAATATGTTAAGTGATTTATGTACATGTTGGTTTCTACAATCACAATGGAAACTTTGCTATTAAGAGAGAATAAGGCTAAATATAAAAATATCAATAACTATTGAGTACATACCATTTCTTCAGCACTGTGATAATTACCAATGATTTAGTGAAGCTTATAATCTAGATTCTAGAGTAGGACTGTCTAATAGAACTTTTTACAATGATGGAAATGTTATGCAGTGTTCACTATGGTAGCATACGGCTATGAAGCACTTAAAATGTTGCTATTAAGCATTAAAATGTGTGACTGAATAACCGAATTTTTATTTTCATTTCAATTAAAATAAATTTAAATTTAAATTTTTTTTTTTTTTTAACGTTTTATTTATTTTTGAGACAGAGAGAGACAGAGCATGAACGGGGGAGGGGCAGAGAGAGAGGGAGACACAGAATCGGAAGCAGGCTCCAGGCTCTGAGCCATCAGCCCAGAGCCCGACGCGGGGCTCGAACTCATGGACTGCAAGATCGCGACCTGAGCCGAAGTCGGATGCCCAACCGACTGAGCCACCCAGGCGCCCCAAAAATAAATTTAAATTTAAACAGCCATGTGTGTCTAGAAGCTTCCATATTGTACTGCACAATTCTAGAGCATAGCCTTTTCCCACTCCTATTTTCCTGAATAAGATTCAAATTAAACATGATTTTGTGAGTCAGCCTCAAGGGTTTATATAACCATGGTGTTTATTTGTGGATTCAAGTTCTTTATTGTTCGTTAATAATTTATCAAGAAAAAATGGATATGACTAGAGATTGTCAAAAGGCATTCAATACAACACATGATAACCTTCATTTATTCATGTGACAAAATCTATTGAACATTCCATATGAGTGATAATAAGCTAAGAAAAAATAAAGTGTTAGGGTGTCAATAAAATTTGGCAAATAAATGGATAATTATTAAAGAAATGAATTACTGGATTTTTCTTGCTTTTTATGGTTCAAACACAAATTCAGAATTGTGATCCTTTTTTTTTCTGAAATGTTCTTTCATACCCTCTTTTCCTACATTACATCTAATGTCACTTAGGTCTTGGCTTAATGAAGTGTCTGTGGGTGCGCTCCCTATGTACTCCCATAGCACCTGGTACTACAATAGCATATATGTCATATTATACTTAATTGCCTATTTATTTGCTTGCCTCTGCAGATAGATCACAAGCTCCTTGAAGTCAGGATCTGTATCTTTTCACCATCATATCTCATGTGCTTAGCACGGTGACAGGAAATTAGTAGGCATCCAATTGATGTGCACTAAATGAATCAATAAATGAGACAGTTCAAAATATGATTTCATTGGAAATAATACAGATCATGGCATAGAGGACTCAGTAAACATGTATTGTATAAATGAATAAAGATGATGGATTAAAGCCTATTAGTATCTTGCTCTTTATTATATGTCTTTAGGACAGAGCACAATGCCTAGTCACAAAGAAACACTGTAGAACTAATATAATGTTTATTTAATATTAAATTATGACACAATTGGGTAAATTATTCATATTTGGTGGCATATTTAGATAATAATCTTATATTTTGTTCAGAACATTTGGGGAGGTGGCTTTAATAAACCAAAACAGTATGACTATTAAGAAATGCCCTTAACAAGGAAATCTGGGGGCCTAATTTCCAGTCTGGCTTTGCTTTTAACTCCCTGAGAGATCCTAATTAAGCTAATTTGCCTGTGTGAGTATTAATTTCTGTTCATGTAAGATGAAACAGTGAGGACACAGTGTAATGGTAATAAGCATGGGCTTTGGGGACAAGGAGCCATGCTAGTTAAGTCTTGACTACCCCTCTTACTAGCATGTTATGTTGAGCATATATCTTATCCTAATAGAACCTAAACCATAGGTTACTGTTAGAATTAAAGGAGACATCGTACAGAGAGCATCTGGCACATTGTTAGTTTTCAAGAAGTGTTAGCTGTTGCTGTTGCCATAATTATCATCTACAGATCTAAGGGTTTTGCCTTTTCCTTTTAGTCTGAATCTAGAGAACTAGGTATCAGAAACATTGTTGAATATTTTCTGT